TAGTCAGGTGACATGCTTTGATGGCTGGGTGCTGAAAGTTTAGCAAGAACGTAAGATAGATTACACCATTCTATTCCTTCCAAGTTCCAATTAATACTTTCTGGGAAAACTTTTTTGGCAAACGCGGTAAGAGCTGGCACGTGACAGCGGTGATAACCAAGGAACATGATGGAGAACATGCTGTAGAGTGTTTTGTCCACGTCGTCGACAATTGCCGACAGGACTGGAGCTCAGTGGCATCTATACTGGAAAATGTTTTCCACAATATCAAGGCCGAGAAACCAGCACTCACAAAGGTATTCCTAAGGTCTTACAACGCAGGCTGTTACCAATGTGTCCAACTTCTGTTCTCCCTACCCATGATTGGTCGCAGAACTGGTATTACCAGTCTTGCGTTATGACTTCTCCGACCCACAGGCTGGCAAGGATATCTGCGACAGAAAAATCGCAACCAAACCATGAAGTCCCACATAAGACGCTATGTAAACGAGAAACACAATGTCTCGACTGCCAAAGACATGAAGGAGGCTCTAGAATCACATGGCGGAGTCAAAGGTTGCAGGATAGCTGTGGCTCAAATGGCTCCAGGCCGGGAGCATTCTGGGCTGAAATGGGAGGGAGTAAAAGCACTGAATAACTTCCAGTATGAGGATGACAGTATAAGAGCTTACACCATCGAAACAGGAGTCGGTGCCCTTCTCAACACAGGTGCCTTTCCACAGGTGCAGGACATTCCTACGCTCATCACACAGCCGTTTGATCCTGCACAACCACGCATAGGCCACATTACAGTATCGGGTGAAGGTGCAAAGTCCCTTTTCCATTGCCCTAAGTCGGGGTGTGTGGTAACGTTCGAATCAACCTGTGAGCTGGACAAACACTTGAATGTCGGAAAACATTTTAAGGAACTCGAGCGGGAATCCACATATGATAGGATACGTAAGCAATGGGCTCAGGCTATCACTGGAATAGCTCATGGCCAGTTAAGTACACAGCAGGCTGGAGAAGAATCTGACATCGCAGGAACCCCCTTAAATCGGTCAATCAGTGAAGGCTGGGCAATCCGAAAAGTCAAAAGAGGCCAGAGAATGTCAGAGAAAGTAAAGACATACTAGTACCTAACTGACATCTTTAACCATGGGGCCACGCCTGGTCAGAAGACAGACGCATCACAAGTCTCACAGGACATGCAGTATGCACGAGGTGAAGATGGGGAGCTGTTGTTCGAGCCTAGCGAATTGAGGAGTGCAAAGCAGATCAGTAGTTACTTTGCGAGGCTGTCAGCTGCACAGAGACGTCGAGAAAGCCCAGACTCTGTCACCCATAAGGACATTGAATCTTTGGAAGTGGAAACGGAGTGGCAGACATTGCGT